TCCTCCTCCTCCTCCTCTTCCTCCTCCTCCCCTTCTCCTCCTCCCCCCACTCCTCCTCCTCCGTCGAGTCCGTCAGCTGCCTCCCCGCCCTCGCCCTCCAGGCCCCGCCCTCGCCCTGCAGGGTCTCCTTACCCAACACACCCAGAGCATCGCTCGAGGCGTCGAGCCTCGTCCGCCCCTTAGGCGCTGATGTTCTCCCTTACCATCCTTCTTCCTCGTGCTCGTGCTCATACCCATCTTCGTTGGCCGAGCATGCAGATCTGTGGTTCAACCCTCCCCGTGAATACAACTTGAGTAGGGCTGGGGGGTCAGATCTGCAGAACACCCCAAACGGACGTCAAGGGCCGCAACCCCAACCTGTTCGGTCAAGTTGGAATTTATGCACCATACCCAGCGTTAAGCCAAAAGTTTGGACATAAGCGAACGGTTGGACGTTGCACATCTTCGTCGGCGTAGCCGGCGAGGCATTGAACCACCTTGATGTCCCATTTTAGTGGTCCTGCAGAGGAAGGCGCTCTCTGACCCTCGGACCTACTCAAAATACCACGCATCCTCGATTCACCATCAGGCAATTCGGCAGAGCGACTCGGACCGGTGCCCAAGACTTCTTCACACATCGTGATCTTGAGGCTGGGATGCAAAAGCTACGAACGTGAAGAACGAGTGAGGTTCATCATGTGTGTATCGCCGTATCGTCGCGCAGCCTCGCGAATAGAACTGCAACTTAACTCATGCAGGGTACCTGCTATGTCAGAATAGACATCTCGCTCGCGCCGGGTTCCTTCCTTCTCCTCCTCCTCCTCCTCCTCCTCCTCCTCCTTCTCCTCGTCGTCGTCCTCCTCCTCCTGCTCCTCCTGCTCCTCCTGCTCCTCCTCCTCCTCCTCCTCCTCCTCCTCCTCTGTGCCCGACCTCTTTTCGGTCGCGCCTTTGGGAAAACCAAAAGGTACCGATACCGCTACTCCCCGGAGCTCTCTCGCGGGGTGCGTTTTGACAAGAATCTCGAAACGGGGGCGGGGGCGACGACGGCCCCCCCAGGAAGCCGAAAGAGGCGACAAACGACGCAAGGGCAGCGGCATGGGTACCTTTCCTGCTCCAAGCTCTGCCCCCGACTTGAGCCTACCTCGTGCCGAATCCGTTATCTCCCAAACCAGTGTTGCACCTTTCCTTCAGCAGTTGGAAGCGCACGCAGAGGCTCCGGCAGGTGCTCCAGGCGTGGGCGCCCCTGGGCGCCTCGTGGGCGACTCGTGCGCTGGGTGCCTATGTCGAGGTTTCGCATGGTGCCCGCCAGCGGACGCCCCGTAGGCGACACGTGCGCTGGGGGGGGGCGTGTGCCGAGGTGTCGCCCGCTGCCCGCCCGTGGGCGCCTCGAGGCGGGATCGCAGCGGTCACAGAGATGGCGCGCCCCCCGCGCCGAAGCGCACAAGCATAACTCGGCGCGCGCCCCCCCCCCACTCGGGGATCTTCTGACCCCAGATCCAGACCCAGGTCAAGCAGGCCTTGCAAGATCCTACGGGATCCTGCACCAAAACCGGGTTATTGCACCCCTGGCTCTGCAAGATCCTGCAAGATACGGCGCTCTCACGGATCCCCGTTTGCATGGACCCCTGTCTCTCGAGCCCCGGCCCACCCTTCCTCGCGCGCCCTCCACGCCGGCGCCGGCGCCGTCCGCGACGGCCTCGGCGCGTGAACCAGGCCACCGGGCGCCCACCCACTCCTCCTCCTCCTCCTGGAGCGCGGAGCCGGCTCGCGGGGGAGAGGCACGGGATCGACCATGTGAGTATCGTCTAACCGATCCCCATCCCCAGCGCCGTGGCCTGGGCCCCACTGGCCGAGTTACCCCCCCAGATGGGGATGTGGGCCGCCCTTCGGGTCTGGAGGGGTGTCTCCCCAACTTGGGGTAATCTGGTGGGGGTCTCGAAGGGGATGGGGATGGGGGTGGGGATCGGTTGAACGATACCGACCATGGACGCCTGGTTGCCAGCCGCTCCTCGGCGGTGTCTTGGGCGGTCCTCGGATAGTCGGTGGCGGTCTCTGGCCGCCCTCGCTGCCAGCGTCGGCGGTCTCGGGCGGCCTCCAGCGGTCTTCGGCGCGAGAGCTGGCTGGTGCGTCCAGCGGGGGGTCCATGTAGGGAACCGAACTCTACGCACCGACACTTTTTCTGGCCCCGCAGTGAAGTCTGCACAAGACAGCGGATCCTGGTGTATACGGGATACTGGTGTATGCATGTTTCGCTGCTTCCCGGAAAGCCAAGGAAAAAGGTATACACCACACCTCCCCGACGTCGTCCCTGACCCTAAAAAAATTCTGGGGCCGAAAATAGCCCGCCACTGGTAATGTAGATGCTCCAGTTTCCGACCATGATCGAACACCTGAGCGGCGGGGCGGGATCCAGGAACTGTTTGCTTGAAACACACACGCAAAATGAAACAAAAGAAAACAGGGTTTAAAACCTGTGTGCCTGACTCACACATCAACTGTCACTGTGACCGAATCACACGTCCGCTAAAAGCGTGAAACCAGACCACGCAGGAGAAAGGAGGGAAAAGAGGACGAGGAGGAAGAAGCGGAAAGAGAGCGAGAGAGAGAGAGAAAGGAACGGGACAACTCGCAAACTGCTGCCCTCGGCCTGCGTCGTGCAGTCGCAGGTGTTACACGCCCTGGTGGTCTACTGAGCCGAAGTTCAAACAACCATCAAAAGAAGAGACAATGTGTGGAGAACTGACCGTGCAAAGCAAGGCAACCAAATCATGAACAAGAGGACGACGAGCGAGCTAGAAAACCGTGCTCTCGCCGACAGTGCACGCACGAGCCGTTGAAACTTCAGTGGCAGTGATAGTCAGCGAGTAGTGTTCTGTCCGAGCTGAGACACAGTCTTTATATACATGTTATACGACTGGAGCTGGTCCGGTACAGATCAGCACGCTCCGCTGCACAGATCTCAACGACACGATTGAAAACAACATGCACAGGCAAGGCGGTCACGCTCCAGCTTCATGGCTCCAAAATGCATATTGTGCTGGCGGCCACGCTCGAAGGCGTTCACATGATTGCAACGGTCTCGCACATGCCTCACAACTTCAATCAGCCCTGTTAGCCCTGCGCGATGCACAGTCTGGTGCTTGCAGCCACAGAGGCCAGACACTCCAGATCTCCAGCCAAGCTCGTCTCTGCAGTCCCCGAGTCTAGCAAAAGCGAAACGCAACTCTACGAAGCAGCGAAAGTGATGACCAGGCACCACCTACTCCATCTGTGCCAGAGGCCCCCCCCTGGGAAGTGGTTCGAGGGATCACGTCCCCGGTACTCAAGCATACGGGCCTCAGGAGGTGGCAACAACTCAAACCAGTGAAAAGGGATGAGCCCGCACCACGAGAAAATCTGACAAAAGCCAGATTCAGCCAACGCTGCACGTCTCAGATGCCCGCTGGATTGGGCCCTGACGAGCTCACTGGTGGAATTGCACATTACGCTGACATTTCTGGCACATGGCATCATGCACACACAAGCTTACAGTCATACGCTGGTGCGGACCACGGCTGCGAGGCCAGACTCTCCTTACTTACGAAGGTTACGGGTGTGCTCACACACATGGTGCCAGGAAGCCCTGGACAAGCACCCTTACCTAAATAGAACTGGGAATCCTCGAATCAGCCACTGGGTGCTCTCTAGGAGTGGCGTGGGGCGGCCAAAGTGTCAGGCATTTGCGTGGCCAGTCCAGCTCCTCCATGGACAAGCGCGCATGCAGTGCGGCGGAGAAGGAAGAGGAGGAGGTGGAGCAAGACGAAGCAGGAGCAGACCGCTCGCGCACTGCCGTCGCCTGCGGCGAGCACAGACCGGCCGGCACCCTGGCCGAACTGAGAATTGCCAGGCCCCCGGTCGGAGCGGGCGCCTCTGCCTTGGGGAATGCCCATGCAAGCACACATGGAAGGCGGGGAGGTGCGCGCCAGGGCAGGCTCTCTCTTCGACCCTCCCACCCCGCCCCCCGCAAACATGGCTTAGCGATCCGTGGACTTGGCGCGCGGTCGCCCAATCCATGGATCGGGGGAGGCGCCCTCCCCGAAGTGCGGCCGCTGCCGCCTGGCTCGGCGGCGGACATCCCCGACTTCCCATGGAAACGGGACCCGTCGCTAATCCACGCCTGACGCAAACATGGATCAAGGGGGCGTGGATGAGCGACGGGTTCCGTTGCGATGGGACATCGCGGATGTCCGCCGCCGAACGAGGCGGCACCGGCCGCACTTTGGGGAGGGCGCCTCCCCCGATCCATGGCTTGGGTAACCGCGCGCCAAAAACACGGATCGCTAGGCCATGTTTGCGCGCCCCCGACGCAACTGGTGGATTCTGTCGAAGAAGAGAAAGAGAAACGTCATAACACATGAATTCATTGCGCTCTGCGCGGATGTTGTTTTCGCCTCAAGGTGCCCTTACCGGGCCTCGGGGCCGTCAGAATACGGTTCAGGACGGAAAGGTCCCAGTCCAGACCTCAGGGGATCGACTTTGTCAACAAAATCACGATTTCAGTGGTCTCCTAGATGGGTTCGGAGTGGATGTGGTCGGAGGATCGCGCCGCATCGCCAACACGGATCGCTAGGCCATGTTTGCGCGCCCCTCCCGCTCCCCCTTCCCTGCAGGGGCACTCTGCTGCGCCCGCACGCGCCCGCGCCGCCCGCTCCACAGGCAGCACGCGGGCAGGGGCCCCCCGCCCGGCGGGCGGGCCGAGCCCCTCAGGATGAGCCCCTCGAGGGGCAACCCCTCAAGGGGAGGAGGAGGAGGAGGAGGAGGAGGAGGAGGAGGAGGAGGAGGAGGAGGAGGAGGAGGGAGGAGGAGGAGGAGGAGGAGGAGGACGACGAGGAGGACGAGGAGGAGGGGAGGCCCCTCGAGGGGAGGCCCCTCCTCCCACGGCCACGATATGGAGCCCCTCCGAGGGGAGGCCCCCCCCCCCGGCGGGCGGGCCGAGCCCCCGGCGGCTTCGGGCAGGGCCGCGGGCTGCACCACGTGGGGGTCCACGTACAGCAGCTCGCGGCCTGCGCGCCGGCCGCCGCCACTGGTCGCGGAGGTCGGGACCGCAGAGCGGAGGGGGCTACTTTTGGGTCGGGCATTTCCACCTACAGAATAAGTTTGAGAGAAATGTCAAACACAGCCCCAAAACGGCCCAAGAAGGCCCCAGGACAGCCTAAGAGGCGCCCAAGACGGCCCAAGAGGGCCCCAAGACGGGCCCAAGAAACAGCCAAGAGGGGGACGAGGAACCGAGAATTCGAGACTTCCGCCCTAAGAGGCCCCCGGGAAGCCCCAAGAGGCCCCCAAAAGGCCCCAAGAGGCCCCCGAGCGGCGCCAAGACGCCCCCAAGATGCGCCGAAGACGGCCTCTCAAGTTGCCTTCCAGACGCCCCCGAGAGGTCAACCACGAGATCCCAACCAACATCCATAAGGCCTCCTCCTCCTCCCCCTTCACCCTTCCTCCTCCTACTCCCTTCCGCCTCCTCCTCCTCCTCCTCCTCCTCCTCCTCCTCCTCCTCCTGCCCCCCCCTCGTGTTGTCTTTCGTCATCTTCAGGGTCGGCGGCAACGGCCGTAAGGCCTTCGCAATAAGTTTGAGAGAAATGTCAAACACAGCCCAGACATATCCGAAGCACATCTATCTAAAAAACGCCCCCAGACTATGTTTGGCCTATTGTTTAGTATTGCTCTGGTAGAAAGGACATGCCCGACTTAAGGCTGCTCCCTCCCTGCTCCTGCCTCCTCCTCCTCTCCATCTGAGCCTTCGGGGGGGGGGAAGCCGAGGGGGCCAAGGAACGCCTCAGGGTACCCCCCGGGCAATCTCGGCGGTTCGCGGCCTGGACGCTGTCGTCGCCAAGCTCGCCGTCTTCGGCTGAGCTGGGGGGAAAGAGAAAGGGGGACACAGAGAGAATCGTCGAGACGTTGCCAAGAAGGCCCAGACCGCGATAACTGCAGCAAGCCTCCTGGCGCGGTGGGAGCGCCCAAGCTGGTAAGATCGGAGATGGTGGGGCGGCCTGTGCGCTGGCGCGAGACAAGAACAGCGGGGGGCGCTCCTCGTCGACACGACCCGAGATGGTGATCAGGTCTCGCTGCGGAAGGCCTGGCACGCAAATCGTGCTCACGACCGACGACCCCCTGCGTCCCATTTCTGTCCGAGCAGCCCACGAGCTCTCGACCCCAAGAATCGAAATCAGTTTCGCGGCGTGAGCAACTTGCATGCGACACGTGGGGCCTCGAGAAGGCTTCGGGGAGCCCATGAGGAATGACAAGAGGACCGTCCATCGTGACGTGTCGATCCGCGGGAGGTACGGGGACCTCGGATAACCGATACGAACCCCAAAAAGCCTGAATCAAGACTTCTCCTCCACATTCGCCGCGTCATTCTAATGTTTCCCCTCCTCGCACCTCGTGCACGACGTAGGATAACCGATTAAGACCCCCAAAAAGCCTAACTGAATCTACACTTCTCCTCCACATTCGCCTCGTCATTCTAATTTCCCCGCTCCTCGCACCTCGTGCACGACGTAGCCTTACAGGAAATAATCATCGAGGGTGGCTTCTGGCGCCGAAGTTTCGCCTCACGCTACACAACGCTGGGGGGGGATTACCTTGAGCCGACCTCTCTCTCACCGCGCAGATGACAGACACACGGTGCCGCGACCGCGATCACATCAGCAAGCGAGCCAAGCATGCGGGGTGCACCTGGTGCGGCAGCTGCGCCGAGGTCCGCCCGGGCGCGTCAGGTCAGCCTCGGTCCCCTGTGCAAAACCGAGCAGAACCACCCTCACCAAATGAAAAAAACATGACTCCCAAATCCCCAAACCATATAACACCTCCTCTTGCATCTCCCCCTCCTCCTCTTCTTCCTCCTCAACCATTCCTCTCGGGCTGGGGTGTCAGAAATGTTTGACGGCTAACTCAAAGAGCTACTGAGACAGGCGGAGCCTGACGTCCCCAGCTACATAGCTAGGACCAAACCCTACCAAAGTGGGCCGCCGCCTGATGGAGTTCCCGTCTCTGTACCTCCCTCCTGCGTCCCTCGCTCTTCCTTCAACGCCCCGCCATCAAGGTAACGCCGTACAGTACTCACTCCAGTGCGAACTCAAGTCACAGCGTGCAATACCGAAAGGTGTAAGGCGAAACTAGAGCGCGATGTCATCAGCTACAGCATCGGGATGAGGGCGTGCGAAGAGGGTGGGCAGTGGCAGGCGGCTCCGATACTACTCTGCGAGAAGGGAGCGCGAAGCTGGAGCCCGCGTCTGCACATCATGCGACACAGCAGGCTGTGGCAACGGACCCTGCTGCTGCAATCGGGGGTCGTGTGATACACATCTCACAAACGGCTCGGGAACTAGCTCATGCGAGGATGTCCTCGGGGTTCAGGTTCCAAGCTACAATGTGAGGAACGGTTCGTGCGAGAAGGTGGGCAGCGGCAACAGGCTATGTTGCTGCATGGGGGGAATGCGGTACACATCTCAGCCAAAGTGCAAAGACCCGATCGTGCGAAAGGCAGGCAGTGGCAGCATGCCATCGTGCTGCATGTAAAGTCGTGCGGGGAACCTCAACTACGGTGCGGGGCCCAAGCCGTGCGAGTAGGCAAGTCGTGCAGCGGGACGTGTCGCTGCATGGAGGGCCGTGCGAGACAAGACTCACCTGTAGTGCAAAGATCCGCTCGTGCGGGAAGGTCGGCAACGGCCGCGATCCCTGCTGGAGCAAGCGGGGTCGTGCGACACACATACCACAACAACGCAGCGCCTAGCTCGTGCGAGAATGTGATCGGGGGACAGACTCTCAACTACAATGCGGGGATCGGGTCGTGAGAGACGGAAGGCACTGGCAGTAGGCTCTGTTACTGCAAGGTGTCGTACGAGACACGCCTCAGCTACAATGCAGCGATCAGTTCGTGCGAAAAGAAGACAGTGACATCAGGCTGTCCCGCTGCATGGAGATCTCGCGGTACACATCGAAGGCAGTCAGCGGAAGCAGGAGCAAAACACCATCATCTATACTGATGGACTCGCTCATGCGAAGACTGGCCGAGGATGCAAAGCGCAAGACCATGCGGTCATCAGCTACAATGTTCGGATCCTTTCGTGCGCGAGGGACGTAGCCTTGCATCGATAGGTTGCGCAGGGCTGGGGCGCAACGTTCTCAACTACATTTGGCAGCAGGGGGGCAGTGGCAACAACGTCTGCCGCTGCTCAGATATTCCGGGGATCAAGCAAGACGCTTCTCTGCTACAGTGCAATAGACGGCTCGTGCGAGACGACTGCAGCAGCAGGCGGCAGCGCTCTCAGCTACAACCCTGCAAAATCTGGCTCGGGGACCACCCGTTGCCTCTGGCAAGGTCTCGGTCGGCAGATCCACTGCGGTTTGGTCTACCGTTCATCCCTGTTGAAATTTCTCCTCCTCCTCCTCCTCCTCCTCCTCCTCCCCCTCCTCCTCATCCTCCCCCTCCTCCTTCTCCGTCTCCCCAAGGCCCCGCAGCATTTCGTAGATAGCCCCTCTGCGAAGCAGTTCCAGAGAAAGCTGCGATCCATGGCAGTCGAAGCCATCAGATCTGGCAGCAGTGCGTGGCACAACATTTTCAGCGTGCCGTGCCACGCTCCGCAGTTACCTATCGTGCGCGTTCCTGCCTGAGGGATTGTCGTAGAAGAAAACAAAAAAGGCCCAGAAAAATTGGAAGAAGGCAGGGGTGGTGGGATCCCGCCTCGACGAGAAGGGACCAGCCTCTCCTCGTTGGGGCGCGCTGCGCCAGGGGTCGGCGCATCTTCTGAGCGCGACGCAGCTGTCCGCGACGAGGGTCGCTTTGGGGCCGGCGGCGGAGGTGGCGTCCTTCCCCCTCCACCCCCCCCGGGCGCTTATCATGGCACTCCTCCTTCTCCTTTTCCTCCTCCTCCTCCTCCTCCTCTTCTTCTTCCTCCTCCTCCTCCTCCTCTTCCTCCTCCTCCTCCTCCTCCTCCTCTTCTTCCTCCTCTTTCTCAGAACTACTCTCCCTCCTCATCAGTCACTCCTTCCCCATCCCTCTCCTCGCCCAGCGCGAAAGGGGGGCGGGGCAGCAGGAGCTCGACCCCAAGCCTTGGCGGCCCACGAAGAAGTGGGCCATCCGGGGCCGCCCGCCCATGGCGCCCAGCGAGGACGCCAACTCAAAGTAACGCAGTACCGCGTCGACGTGGGCCTCGGGGGGGGAACGCTCCTGCTTCTCGCTGAATGTATCCTCTGCGCCTGACGTGCGCTCGTCCGCCGCATTGGCCAAGGCGGGCGCCTCAGGGCGCGCGGTCGTGTCCCATCCACCTCCTCCTCCTCCTCCTCCTCCTCCTCCTCCTCCGCCTCCTCCTCCTCCTCCTCCTCCTCCTCCGCCTCCGCCTCCTCCTCCTCCTCCTCCTCGTCCTCCTCCTCGTCCTCCTCATATGTACTCCTTCACACTTGCAGCAGCTAGAAGGATGCATGTGGTCGTGCTCAACATGAGGCCCTGGCTTGGTCGCTTCCGCACGCTGGCCGGCAGCCTCCGCGAACATGCGGCAGCTCCTCTGGAGAGCGCGGCGCTCGCCCGCGGCTGCCTCGGAGGTCATGACGAGAGGCGCCGCGCTGCGCGGCAACCGCACGGAGGGGGGGGGTGCTTCGTCGGAGCGGTTCGATGCCACCCGCTCCACTCGTGCGTCGAGGCTGCGTCGAACCTCTGAGTCGAACCCGAATCGAACCTGGGTCGAACCTGCGTCGAACCTGAGCAGGACCTGAGCCGAATCTGAGTTGAACCCGAACCGAACTTGAGTCGAACCCAGATCCGTTAGGTGGGCACCAGGAAGGTCCCCAAAACGAGCATCGAAGAGCGGGGTCCCTGGGGACACCAAAAGGAAGAGGTGAAGGAGGAGAGAAAGAAGGATGACACGAGTGTGGAAGCCAAAAGGTACCGATACCGCTACTTCCTGGACCTCTCCCGGGTTGCGTTCTGACCAGGACTTCGAGGCGAATCCCGAGCTGGCGACGAGGGCCTCCCAGGAGGTTCCAAAAGGGGGAAAACGAAGGAAGGGTAGGGGTATGGGTACCTTCGGGAATGTTCTGACCCGGGTCAATCCAAACGAGGGTCAATCAGGCCTTGCAGACTCCTGCAAGATCCTGCACCCAAACCCAGGTCAATGCGAAGGATCCTGCAAGACCCTGCAGGATCCTGCACCCAAACCCGGGTCAGTGCGACCCCGACCCTGCAGGATCCTGCAGGATCGGGCGCTCTGGGTGAGCCCCGTTTGCATTGACCCCCGTCCCAAGACTCCCGAGACCTCTTCCTCCTCTGAGCCCCTGTGGACAACTTCGCTGGCACGCCTGCTCGCCACTGCTCGCACGTCGGGGGCAACTCCTCGAGGTCTTCTCGGCCGCCTCGGCGCCCCGCTCCCTCGAGCCCCAGGGCCTCTCTCTGGAGGTCGAGGGCCGCTCCTCCCGAGGGCCAGCTGCGTGTTCTGGGCCGTCCTTTTTGACGTCTCTGGGGCCTGCCGTCTTCTGACGCTTCCAGGGGCGAAGCCCGTGTACAATCTCGAACGTGCGAGCAGCTGAAGCCTTTTTTTGTGCTCTCCCTGTGATTTCCTCCTGCATCGGGGATGGACAGACCTCCCTTTGGTAAAGCGTGGTTTAGTGAAAACGACCTGAGGCCCAAACCTGGCGGGCGCGAGCCTGGAAAAGAACGGCCGCGGCGCCCACTCGAGAACCGAAAAGGGACAATTCACTGATTTGGACGCCCGAAATGGGTACCGACAAAAATGGGTACTATGCCCAACAGCAAATGTTGTCCCAAACCAACGGCGGCCGCTGTTGGGCAGGCGGCCTCCTGTCTCGAATGGACACAGGCCGCGGCGGCGTGGACAGCGAGCCCTGTTCAAACTGAACAAGATCCGCTGTTGGGCATTGTACCCATTCTTTCAGTACCCATTTCGTGCGTGCAGAACTGATCGACGTGCCACTTTTGGAGCTTCTGCCCACCCCCGACTGCAGAAGGGACAGGTCCGCAAGAGCACCGCCTTGTCCAATCGGGGCTACCACCGCCCGAGCGGCAGGCCCCTCGAGCGCCCGGGGCCCTCTTCTCTCTGCAGGGGCGCCTCCTGCGGGGAAAGGGGGGGACACACTTCGGGGAGGCGTCTTCTGAATCGGGGGCCACATGCGAACCCTACCCCTGGCCCCCACGATTTCTGAGGGGGAGGGTGGGGTTCACTTCGCTCGGGAGCTCCACTTCGCTCGGGAATTCCCGAGCGAAGTGAACCCCACCCTCCCCCTCAGAAATCGTGGGGGCCAGGGGTAGGGTTCGCATGTGGCCCCCTGCTGAAGACGAGAGTCGCTGCGAGGCGGGGATTTCTCCATATCCACCGCCTGGGAACCGACGTCCTGGTGCCCCAGCGGGCGGTGGATATGGATGTATTTCGGCCCCCGGGGGGGCCGAGTATGTCCATATTCACCGCCTGCCGAGGCTCCGAAAACTGACCCTCCAGGCGGTGGTCTTGGAGTTGCTCTGGTCCTCCTCCTCCTCCTCCTCATCCCATGCCTCCTCCACCCGCCTTGCCCATCGGTCGGAAGAAGTGGGTAGAAACATGAGGTATGAAGGAGTGGAAAGTGCATTCTAGAGGCCTCCTAGATAGGCTCGGAGTAGATGGGGTCGGAGGATCGCGCCACATCACCGATGCATCGGCGATGCACCAGCGATGCATTGTCGACGTGGACGATGCATCGGCGACGCTGGCGTGAAGAAAATCGGGCTCCGCATCGTGCCGCATCGCCGATGCTTTGGCGATGCGGCGAGATCTTCCGACCCCATCTAGGAGGCCTAAAGTGTCCGCCCGCCCCCTGGAGAGGACGGAACAGGTGAGGCCACGCGATCATTGACGCAGGAAGGCGCCGAAAGTAGATTTGAATCTGGGACTGCAAACAATCCCTACGTTCAACGACCGATGGGTATCCTCTGGGGAAGCCACAAAGTACCGATACCGCTACTCCCCGGACCTCTCCCGGGTTGCGTTCTGACCAGGACTTCGAGGCGAATCCCGCGGTGGCGACGAGGGCCTCCCAGGAGGCCCCAAAAAGGGGAAAACGGGTGAGGGGTAGAGGTATGGGCACCGTTTGCTCCTCGGATCCTCCTCCGCTTAGAGCCCCGCCGCCCACTCGATCACTGAAGCAGGAAGGTGCCTAAAGTTAGGTCGGGCGTGTCCCCCTACAGGCGGGTTTTGAACGACAAATACCCCAGAACTATTCCAAAATTCTTCAAATTATCCCGGCAAAGCAACCTAACAGCCATGTGTAGGAGCATATCTGGAAGCATTCCCCTTAAGATTCGGATGAGAATCCAGTTGTAGAATTCTGCTGTTCTCGCAGTCGTTGTCGCATTCGCGAGGACAGTCGCAGTGGCAACGGCAGTCGCAGTCACAGCCTCAGCCTCAGCCTGCCTCAGCCTCAGCCTCCGCCTGCCTCAGCCTCAGCCTGCCTCAGCCTCAGCCTCAGCCTGCTTTAGCCTCAGCATCAGTCTGCCTTCGGCCTCGGCCTCAGCCTCAGCCTGCCTCAGCCTCAGCCTGCATCAGCCTCAGCCTCAGCCTCAGCCTGCCTCAGCATCAGCCTGCCTCAGCCTCAGCCTCAGCCTGCCTCTGCCTCAGCCTCAGCCTGCCTTCAGCCTCAGCCTCAGTCTGCCGTCGGCCTCGGCCTCAGCCTCAGCCTGCCTCAGCCTCAGCCTGCATCAGCCTCAGCCTCAGCACGAAGCGACCCAGCTAGAAGGACAAAGCGCTGAATGTACACCGATGTGTTCGACGACTGCGTATGTAATGATGTGACGATATACAGACTGAGCCCTTCGTGAATGTCTACATGTTTTTCTGACGCCTACAAACGGCGCTGACGTGTGTGAGAAAATTGTCCGCGCAGCAAAAGCCGGCGAAGCGTGCGGGAGCTCGCATGCTGAGACAGACTACGTCTGCAGACCGCCAGCTGCAAAAAGTTGCGAGCGGCTCTTGGAAGATGTTTACGGAACGGAGCTACGGTGTCTGAAAACATTGGCATCGAAGGGAAGAGCCTCGGAGCCCTGCAACCTGAGAAACACCGCAGGAACTCGCATACTGAAAAGGAATGCATTGCAAACCGCACGCTGCGAACCCTGCAGGCTGAGAAGCACCGCAGGATGTCGCATGCTGAAAAGCACTTGTACTGCAGAGCGCTAGCATCTATCTCGGGCTCGGACCCCCCCGTCCTGATCCAGAACGTGTCCGGCCACGGCCTGAAAATGCCGTTCCAACTCCCGAGGATCAGCTGGCACTCCGGCTCTGGGACACTCCAGTACGTCTTGAGCACCTTGAGCCAGGCCCCATCTCGGGATCCCCACAGCACGCTGTACTTGACCGAGACCGTGCCGAACTCATAACAATTGACCTCCGAAGGACCTGCGAGTGCAGGCTGAGAAACACCACGCGATTGCAGGGCACGGCATTGCGTGTCACATGAGTGCAGGCTGAGAAGCACCACATCTCGTTTGCCAGAGATCACTCCCAGGTTATTTGATCCCGCAACACCAGCCACGGCGTAGCTGCCACAGGGGCCGCAGATAGCAACGGTTCGGTCACCCAATTGGCGTTCCGGTGAGTCACAATTCGCGCGTGGCTCCACGAGCCTGTGTAGCGCGATTTGCGGGGCACCAGTGTGCTGTAGGTGTTGTTGCCGTAGCAGAAGACGGCCTCTGGAGCCCAGTGCGGATTCCAGCGGACAGCGTAGACCCTGTGGACGCCATTGCGGATGACGTCGCGCGCACCTTCGATATGTGCCACCCATCGAAGCCAGTCAAATGCTGAGCCATCGGTGATGTCAACAGCACCTGGGGCAGTCTCGCCATGGTGGTAGTGCAACAGCGATTGGAGAGCGGCGCTGGCTTCGTCGCGGCCCACAATCTGGCGCGAGCAGGCTGCCTCTTGCAGGTGCTCCTGTGTGAAGAGCAGTGGGGCATCACCGCCAGTCTCGGCAGGCTGAGCAGCGCCACCGTCAGGCACGGCAGTCTGAGCAGCGCCGCCACGAGGAACATGAGGCTGAGCAGCGCCAGGCTCAGGCACGGCAGGCTGAGCAACGGCGCGTGGTGGACCGACATAGGTGGGCTCATCGGGTCGGCCGTTCTTATGGTAATGCAGGCGCATGGCTGAACCGTCTGCACGACGGAACTCGAAGAAG